ACTTCTTCATGGCAATTTCTACATTGTCTATATCCACATTTATGTATATCATCCAGTTTATTAAATCTTTTACATATTTTATTACAATCAATACATTTACGTACATACATACATACGAACAAATGATCATCTAAACATTCTTGATTATAACAATATCTGTTACATTTTTGGCAATATATTTTATTTTTTGTACAACTTGAATGTTCAGGTGTCTGACACAATTTACATACATTTTTATCTTTAACACATTTATGTTCATTTTAATTTTTATATGTTTTATTACACTTTTCACAATAATAAGAAGAACCATAAAAACCTGCCATTGATGTAATAACATCAAAATGATTACCATTTTTATATAAATAAATTTTAGTTTCTTTATCCTCACCTTTATAAATTAAAGTATTCAAACTTTCAGCACAAATAATATTTATTTGTATATCTAGTATTTTTTCCACATTTTGAATATCATCCAATGTAAATCCTTCTTCGTTATATTCTGGTAACATATTACATAATTTTAAAGCTAAATCTTTTTGAATTTTTCTACCCATCTTCAATTGTTTAGTTTTATTGAGATCTAATTCATGTCAAAAAATATTATTTGTTTGAGTAGATAATGCAACAACAATTGCTCTCGGACAACATAAATTATCATCATTATTAATCTTAATAATACTTCTTTTAGTATGGACATCTTCTGATAAATTTATTATTTTATTTCTATTTGAACCTCTGGGTATGTTTACTATTTGAACTTGAAAAGTAGTTTCTGTAATATCAATTTCTTCATTTGAAGTTAATAAGCCATCAACTATAGATTTTAAGTTTACTATGATATCGTCAGATCTCATTCCAGTATATATGGGAGTTTTTATATTTGGATTAAATAATGCAATACTTATTCTATCATCTTTTTTATATGCTGAATTGCTTTTAGCAAGTTTTACCATTTCATTTAAAGCTTTATCTATATAATGAATTTTGTATTCTGAATTACATTGTTTTAGATCTTGTAATAATGCTTGTTTAAAACTAATTTTATAATCAGCTTAATGTATCCTAAATTTATTTTGGACTTGTGCATTCAATTGAATTACGTCTATCAAATCATAAACTTTTGGTCTTCTTTCTAATGAAGTATTAAAATAATTTTCTTTAGTAAACAATGATTTATCTAACTTAAAGAAGCGATTTTTATCTAACATTTTCAATGCAGCATGCTTTTTTATATTATCTATTAAACAATCTTTTTTCATTTTACAAACATTTTTTATATCATATTGTTTTGCTATTAACTTAAGTTCGGTACTTTCATTTTTTCTAATATAATTTAATTCTGTAGAAGCATTTTTATTAATTTATTGTATACAATTTATTTTATTTATTTTTATTTATAAAGAAAAAATTTTATTTTATTTTATTTTATATTATTTATGGAATTTATTTTTTAATAACAAAATTATTTTTATAATTATATATTAAATGTTCTCTTTATTCATGTTTTCCGTTCTTTTTTTATGATAGTTTGATGTTAAATGTACAATATAGCATCTCAAATAAATTTTTTTCCACATTTGCATATTTTAAAATCATTATTAACTTTGGTTTTCATACAAGTCTTACACCACTTTTGATTTTTACTAAATTCATCAGTTTTCTTAAAATCTTGACATTTTGTACATAAATAAACTTCCCCTAATTTTAAAGATTGTAATAATGAGTTATTATTATATATCATCTTTTCATAAAGACTAATAATTTTGCTGTTACGATTCATTGTCTTATATTTATTTTTATTTTTATTTACAAAGAAAAAAATGTTATATATTTATTTTAATATCAATGTAATTGTATACACTATGGTATTTCAGGGTGTATGGAAATACACCCTAAAGCTATTTAAAATAAATATAAAAATTAGTACTATTGTAAATGAATTTGAGGTGGCTGGTTTGAAACCAGTCACTTATAATATTATATTATATTATAGTAAAAATCGTGGTCTGTTTTTCAGGCCACGATTTTATTAAAGAATTTATGGATTTTTATACAAAACCTGACGTACCCCTAATTTCAGGGGAACGTAAGATTAATAAAATTAAAGAGAATTTATGGGATTTGGTGACAACATTGACACGTGTCCAAATGGGACACGTGTCAATAATAACATGCTTGAATTTCACACGCATGTTAAAAATAGAAATAAAATGCATAAATTTATAGAATTTTTATAAAATAATGATATTGAATTTGAACAGATTTGTTTAAATTTTTTGTAATTTTAACAGATTTGTTTAGATTTTTTGTAATTTTTAACAGGAAAATATAAGGTCGGTTTTTTTTTAATGTTTTTTCAATGATATTTTAGATGTTTTTTATGCTTTTTTGTGTGTTTTTTATGCTTTTTTATGTTGTTTATGCATTTTTTAATGTTTTTTTATTCATTTTTTAAAGATTTTTTAAGGTGTTTTTTTGTAATATAAAAAGTGTGCTCAAGTGCCCCATATACTACTTTTTATTATCTTTTCACATTTTACAAAAGTTTAATTCATGATTTAATGAATAAACATATTCAAATAACAATACTGTTTGATAATTTTTTGAAAATGATTTATTTGTTCAACCATGGAGGTTAATTTTAGAACAATATTCTTCGTAATCGAATAATAAAGTATAATTTTAGATTCTGAGTGAAACGATGAATGTATTGATTTTACAATGATGTGTGTTTTTATATTTTTTTTATTTATTTTTGTATCTGTATACACGATAAGTAGCCGAAATAATGCTTCGATTTTCGACTTCAGTATCTTGTTCGATTGGAAAATTTAAAATTCCCGATAGTTTTCACAAGCGCCGGGAAAAACAACATAAAAATTAAGGAAAAACGGGAATTTTTACGCAAAATCGGTTTTTGACAAAATCGAATTTGGTTTTTGGTGTAACTTTAAAACAAATGACCGTAGATACATGAAATTTTCACTGGTTGTTTATATTTTCATTTTCTATACACGATAACATTTTCAAAGTATTTTGATTTATTTTGAACTGTTTAGGGACATTTTCATTTTTAACTTTTTTTTAGTTTTTTTTCTAGAAATATAAATAAAATTTTATGTGTTGTTTAAAAAAACTTGAAAATTTAATAGAAGGCTCCTAGAATATTGTTTCAAAGGCAGATGAAAAATATTAAAAATCGTAAGTCACAGTTTTTTTTTATAAGCATTTAAAGTTCAAAAATTGACAAAATATGGAAAAATCACGAAAATTAGCAAATTATTTTGAGTTAAGAATTCGTAAAAATTTTTCTTTTTAAATCTAAGATTTGAAAATCTAATACAAGATTACTCATAAGATTGTCTACCTTTATCAATAAAAAAATCTCTACCGGAAAGTCAAATTAAATTTTTATGAGCGTTTGAAATTCAAATTTTTACAACATTGGATATTCACTCGATTTCTCATGTGGCAATTTCTTTTTTTTGTTGTAATTGAAAAACGAATTACTGTAGATACATGAAAATTTCACTGAGTGTTTATATTAGCATTTCCTATACACCATACAATTTTGAAAATATTTTGACTCTTTTTGAGCCGTTTACGGACATTTTCAGTTTTCAATTTTTTTAGTTTTTTTTTTCTATAAATATCAATTAAGTTTTATCTGTTGGGCCAAAAAGTGTAAAAATTTAATACAAGGCTCCTGATATATTGTTACAATATCAGTTGAAAAATATTAAAAATACATAGGCACAATTTTTTTTTTTTTATAAGCATTTTAACATCGAATTTTGACAGAATTTTTCAAAATCTCGAAAATTATTAATCATCGTAATTAATAAATTATAAAATGTTCAGTTTTTATAGCTAAGGATTGAAAATTTAAAACAAGATTCCACGTAAGTAGTTAATTCTCTTACCGAAAAATCTAAAAAATATACAATCACAGTTTATTTTTATAGTCATTTTATGTTTAAATTTGGACGAAATTACATATTAAAAACCTAGTTATTTTGTTGTGATTATATAATATTATTCGTGGGTACCTACTTGAAACTTCTAAAGTTTACTATTATACATATATGATAGCATCAGGGTTTGTTGTTGGTGTATAACGTGTTATAAGTACCTAATGGATATTGTGATAATGTGATATGATTAATTTGGAATTTATTATAGGTCAATTTTTTTTTAATACCATAGATATGAATATAATTTGTCTTAAACCTAGACTGACATACCGTCTTCGCTCAGAATCGTTTTTCTTATACAATGATATTGTATCATTGAATTCAAATTTAATAGCATCAATTATACAGTGACCCACTTGTAACCTACTGTACAGCAGAGCGACATCCACTTACCCACCTTTGTTATAATTACAATTCATTGTAAATTAGACAAATTAATAGATTGTTAATTCAATAAATTATTGATATACACTGAGCTTGTGAATTGTACAACTGAATTTTTATTTTAACATTATTATTATAGTATTAACAAAATAGATATTCGTTATTTAATTACAAAATTGATTTGTTAGTTTTACCTATGATATTTTTTTCAGTGTTGTTCTATATAATTTTGAGTTGGTACTTGGTATTATAGGTAATATTATATAGAATATGATAATGATAAAGATAGATTGACCGCAGGGGCGTCTCCAGACTTTGGCTATGGGGGGGGCGAAATAGTAAAAATATTATTAATTTACATGGGATTCAGATACTGAGTGTTATGATGTATCATAAACATCTTTTATTCTAAGCAAAGCGGTCTATTATCTTGTCACTGAAATGTTACATTATTAAAAACAAATCACCATAGTCATTATAGTATACAAATTTATTTTATTGATTAATGGTTTATATAACAAAATCTAAACATCTTTTATTCTTAGCAAAGCGGTCTATTATCTTGTCACTGAAATGTTACATTATTAAAAACAAATCACCATAGTCATTATAGTATACAAATTTATTTTATTGATTAATGGTTTATATAACAAAATCTAAACATCTTTTATTCTTAGCAAAGCGGTCCATTATCTTGTCTACGTTTAACGGAAGCTGCCTGTGTATATGCAAAAGCGCCAAACCCGTTAATCTACTTTGGCCCATTTCACTTCTTATCCAAGTTTTCAACCTAAAAAGCAATCAAATTGAAGAAGAAGCATACTTTAAAATTAAAGCAAAAGCATATTATTTAATACTGTATAGTATTATTATTACATGTATTATTATTTTGTACAGTTATATTTAGTATAAGATAGTAAATATTTTCTATAGTTGTACTAATTAAATATCAATTATTAGCAAAAAAATAACACTTATAGTAAAATAAAATAAAAATGCAACGTCAAATAAAATTAATAAAGTTACTATAATTCAAACATGTTAAAAATACAAAAATTCATGTTCAAAAGAACAAATATTATATAACATGTTTGGATTCATTAAATAAATGTAAATTTGTATACAACCTTCTAAGAGTAACAGAAGATACAGCAATTGGAATCGGATCATTCATCATATTTATACGTGTGTCTTGGATCGTTGTCTTGGATCGTTTTTCTAGCCATGTTGCAATCGAACCACTATTTTTACGTTTGTTATCGTTCATAATAAGAAATAATTACAAACTTTACTGTCTTTACTTCAACCAAAATAATATATAAATAATAAATATAATAATTAATAAAAACATAATAAATAATTACTGAACTATAAAAAAAGAGTAATATTTAAACAACATCAAATTGAATAAATTCAGTTGACTGATAACAAAATGACAAATATTGGAAATAGGTTATCAAGAATATAGCCGGGAATTATTATCAATAATAATTGTTATCACTTATCTCTCAAGAAGTGTGTTAACCACGGACCACGATTTAAGATATACCTTTAAGGTAAACAGAATCTTGTGTTAACCACGGTTGTAGCAGCTACAGCACCTACGAATCACACATCATAACAAGATAACATGATAACATGATAATTGATAACAAGATGAACAAAAAAAAAAAATTTTATTTAAATAATATAAACTATAAAATTAACCAATAATTACTATGTATGTAATTCTATACTCTATCCAACTCACGGGGGGGGCGGTCGCCCCCTTCGCCCCCCCCCCACAAGGACGCCCCTCATTGACGCGGACTTCTATTGAGCCGCGTGGTGTGGTGAGGTGATGGTGGTGACCGACGGAGACAGTCGGGTCGAAACAACAGACGGGATAGTAACAAATTATTAACAAAAAGAAACAAACAAACGACGCACTGTGGTGTAAACTAAGTCTTTATTATTAAAAAACAAAAGAGCTTATTTAATATATATATTGTGAACCGGTAGCGAAAATACACGGAACGTGTGTGTGGTTCGGGTGTGTACCGGACGGTGTCGGGAAGACGAGGGAGCGCGCCTTGACAATCCGGTTCGCTGGACGGTCGTCCGTCGTCGATTGGCGGTTTGATTGAGAAGCCGCGGCGCGGCTTCCGCGCCAAGGCTGTTTGAATTCAAACAGATTTTGCGCGGGACCGCGTCATACTCCCCCCCCAAACCGCCAACGGCGTAGGTGTTCCAGCCGTTACCGGTGTTGTGGTTTGTTCAGGGTGTGGAGGTGGTTGTGGAGGTTCATGAGTGGAGGGTGGTGGGAGTAGACACTTGTCCGCGGGCACGTTTTCCGGCTGTGTTCAGCGGACGTGGCCCTGGCGGTGTCTAGTCGTGGTTGGGTGATGTTGGGGGGCTAAAGAATAGTTGACTGACGTCCATGTCCTCGTGGTCAGCCAGGTGTGTGCCCGCACCTTCTAACAGCTGTGCCTCCTCCTCCGGGGATATTTCCATATCCTCGGGTTGAGGGGTGGTAGCCGCCAGTCGCTCCGTGGTTCCGGTCGCTCCGGAAGTGGGTGTCACTTCCGGTACCGTGACCACGGTTATGTGCGGGGACGCAGGCCCTGGCTGTGACAGGACCGTCTCTGGGCCTGGGGTTACGGGTAGTGCCGGTGTTTCCAGGCGGTGCTGCTGGGATGCCTGTTGTCGTTTTGTTATGAAGTCCCGCTTCCGCTGCTGGTTCCGGCGTTGGCGGGCGTTCAGTGTGGCTGTAGGTGGTGTTGGTGCGGTGGCACTTGGTGGTGGCGGTGGCGGCGGGTTGAAGGTGGTTGTTGGAGGTGGCCTGGTCGCCGTCCTTGGCGGTGGTACCGGCCTCTCCATCAGCGGTCGTGGGTGGGACGGTGGTCGGGTCACCCGTCTGGGGCTGCGGGACCTATTGTGCCGCACTGTGGTTGTGGGTTCGCCGCTCGTTGCCCTAACGAATACGGCCGTGCGGTCCTCCCATCCGCGCGAGTAGGCGGCCCACAGTACCGGGTCTCGCTGCAATTGTGCCGTGGTCATCCGTCGGACCCTGGCCGCCGTGGTGACGGTGGTGCCCTCCTCGAGGGTGACCGCCCTCAGCAGCTGCTGACTTCGTTCGAGCAGCTCTGCCGCTTGTTGGAGCGTGGATGTTGATGAGGTGCGTTGCTGCTCTATCTCGCGGTGTATTGCTGTGCCGACTGAAATTTAGTTCACAAAAAAAAAAATACTTTTGTGGGCTTATGGTTTGGGGGGGGGGTTGGGGTATTCTGGTGGTCGCGGAGCCGTTTAGTGGTTTGGTACACGCGCATATGGGACACGACTTGACGTACAGTCGGATGTCGTTTTTTTTTTCTTTTTCCTTCCAAAAAAAAAAATAACGGTGTTTGACCGCCCTGTACGTTTCTTTCCAGCCCGGGTGGTTTGCGAGTACGTGATCGTGGTTAGTCCAGATCACGTTCTGGGTGTTGATTTTTGGGATGACTACGGGTGTGTGTTCGCCCAAACTTATCCGGAGAAGACCGTCGGTAAAAATGAATTGCTTGTTTTTCTTTTTCCGAGGTACCTCCGGTATTGCGCGCTGGGTCGTCCGTTGTCATGTTGTGCGTTATGTCTCGTGTGTTGGGGTCATTGGCCTGCCATGTCACGAGCATAGCGTGTGTGATTGTGGGGTGACTAGTGGTGTTAGCTTGGTTCGTCGTGGCGAACAGATTGTCGGCCGGTGGACTAGTAGTGGTGACGAGTGGTGTGGTGGGTACTCCTACTAGTCGTTCCTCGAGGTGTTCCTCGTCTACCGGGGGCCCGGTAGTCGGGTTGCGGGAGAGCATGTCCGGCGCTTCGTTCTGTACGCCGGGCACATGCGTGGTTTTGTAATCCAGGTTGGCCAGTTGTAGTGCCCACCTGGTTAATTTTGAGTTTGTGTTTTTGGCTCGGTGGAGCCATGTGAGTGCTGAGTTGTCTGAGTATAGGTCAAACCGGCGTGCCTCCAGGTATGGTCTAAACTCATTGGTTGCCCAGATTATCGCGGGGCACTCGCGTTCTATCGCGGCGTACCTTGTTTGTGTATCACTAAACTTTTTGCCTGCGTAGGCGATTATCCGCCTTTCGTCCGGGCTGTCACCCCGTTGGAAAAGGACGGCACCCGCTCCTATCTCGCTAGCATGGGTTATTGTTAGTTTGTCAACATCTAGTGCTGGGCTGGGGTTGGGTATCCGACCTTTCCAGCACGCTGTTGTTCTCCTATTCGAACCTAAATGAATAGTGCTCGTTGTGTAGTCCCAGGTGACTTCGTTTTGCACGAGACAGTCGTGACCTAGGAGCATGTCGCAGTATAAATTGTCCAGACTGCTGCGTTGAAGGTTACCGTGAGGTCTCCGATTCTGGCTACGAATGTGGAGGTACCACTTGTCATGGTAGTGTGTCCATCCGCCATTCGTACCTGAGTGGGTTGTCCGTGGTGGGGTGTGCCAAAAAAAATTTTTTTTTCTGCTGTGTTCGGGCTTACATACGATTTTTGTGCTTGGGAGTCGAGTAGAGCTGTTACGGGGCCTGACCTAAATTCGAGTTCGACCGCGGGGGTCGGAATTTTGTCGGGGCATACTCGTTTAGCGTTATTCGACGTTGGTGGTGATGTATAGCTGGATAACTGGTTCTTAACCGCGATATCGGTGTTCTGGGGAGCGGTTTGCACCGCCATTACCAGAGCATCCGTTTCGGTTACCTCTGTGCTATGTGTATGTGCTGTATGTGTACCTGTTAATTTCGTAGTAGGGGTCGTTGATGCGGACCTTTGGGGTGCCGCGTGGTGTGGTGATGGTGACCTGCTACTTAACGAAATTGTTGATGTTTGGACGGGTGATATATGTGAGGACGCCGAGTTTATCGATGCGCGTTTGATGGTTATATCCCCGTCTGTAATGCCGAACGTTGTGTGTGGTGGCGTGGTTGTGTGTGTGTGTGTGTGTGTGTGTGTGTGTGTGTGTGTGTGTGTGTGTGTGTGTGTGTGTGGTGGAGGCGGCGGCGTGGACAGGTGTCCGCCGACTCGTTTCCCGTTTCCCGAACGCGGTGTGTTCCCGGGGCAGTCACTGTTCCAGTGAGGACCTCCGCAGTATCTGCATGGGTTGGGCGGTTGCGGTTTGCCTGCCGTACCGTCCCGTGTTCGCGGTTGGTGTGTTGGGTGTGGTGGGCGGGTTTGGGAAAATTTTTTTTGCGCCGGTCTCGGCTGTGGTTGTGTCCGTTAAACCGCGCTGTCCGCATTCGTAGCGCAATTCCGCGGCGGTCAATTCATTAATATATTTTCCCGGCATGACTTCCGGTTGGTTTTCCGGTGTTGTTGAAGAGGAGATATAAAATGTGGCTGTTGTCGTTGGAACGGGTATCGCGTTCCTTCGATCAGCTGTGTTGCCCGCTTATCGGTGTTTATTTGCGTACAGAATGTAGGTCAGTGGGTTGTTATTGTTATTGTTGCGCTTGCCGGGCGATCACAGTAACCGGTCTTCGCAGAGTGTTTTCGCGGATGCGCGTGTGTGCGTTATCCGGTGCACTACTGCGATTAGGGAAGGCGGCGGCTGTCGCTTTAAGACAGGTTAGGTTAGCGCTCTTGCGTTCCTGCCTAATGCCTACCTACGTCGTGTGTGTTTGGAGCGTCGCGCGCGGTGCGGTCGGTGCGTCCGTAAAGTCGGGCGGCGCGGCCGGTCGTTACGTCCTTTATGGTTATGTAATATATTACGTAACGCCGGTTTTTCCGTTAACGCCTGAAAACCACGTTTTTGTCGGATCGCGTCCGGGACTTTTTCCAATCGCGCAACGGGGGGTATATGTGGGTGGTAGTGAGTGGTAAGATAGTTTTCACTTACCGGTGATTCCTGTTCGGGGAGCCAGTTGACGCGGACTTCTATTGAGCCGCGTGGTGTGGTGAGGTGATGGTGGTGACCGACGGAGACAGTCGGGTCGAAACAACAGACGGGATAGTAAACAAATTATTAACAAAAAGAAACAAACAAACGACGCACTGTGGTGTAAACTAAGTCTTTATTATTAAAAAACAAAAGAGCTTATTTAATATATATATTGTGAACCGGTAGCGAAAATACACGGAACGTGTGTGTGGTTCGGGTGTGTACCGGACGGTGTCGGGAAGACGAGGGAGCGCGCCTTGACAATCCGGTTCGCTGGACGGTCGGCCGACGGTTCCAGGCGCGCGTGTCGCGCGCCGGCGTCGTCCGTCGTCGATTGGCGGTTTGATTGAGAAGCCGCGGCGCGGCTTCCGCGCCAAGGCTGTTTGAATTCAAACAGATTTTGCGCGGGACCGCGTCAAGATATATAATTATAATTAATAATTTTAACTCCGAAGATCAATAAAATGAATGTATTGATCTTAAGATATGTTTTTTTTTTAGTATTAAAACACAAATTATTATATTATATAGTATTGTCGAAATTAATGATCCAATTTTTAACTTTAGTATCTTTTCTGGTGGTAACAATAGTGAATATAGTATGTACTAATTGTTGAGAGGTAAACGTAGACATTTCCTAGTAGTAGATGTATAGTTTTTAATCTAGTCGGAAAAAACTGCAAAATTAAATTATTAAGAAAAATGGGTATTTTTACGCAAATTCTGTTCCCGACCAAATCGATTTTATTTTTTTTGCTGTATATGATGTAAAACTAAAAAAAAATAACTGGATGAATAAATTAAACTTTCGCCTGATAAGTATTAAGTATATGATTCATTTTGAGCTGATTTTTATTCATATTTATTAGAAATATTCAATTTTTATAAGTTTTTAACTATACTATACATATATTGCTTATACTACCTTTATAAATGGATCTTTTTTTTTTAGTTGCAGTAGTATTCAGTTTTATTGTTATATCAATTGTAGCCAGTGTTGGGAAAAGATGACCAAATAATCATCTGGATAAGATAACAGATAAATCATTCAAAATTTATCTAGATAAGATAATATATAACCACTCATTTTTTTATCTAGATAAAGATAAAATAAATAATATTTTATCTGTATAATAAACAGATAATTTTTTTTTAACTTAATGTTATTATCATATAAAAAAAATATTGTTATTTCTTCATCACACATTTATAATAATGTAATATTTTTATTTGAATATTAGTAATAACAAATTATAATATATAATACAACAGAGAAAATAATAGTTAAAATAAAGGCAACTTTGATATTATGTCATTTTTTGACTAACAATTTGAAAAAAATTATTTTTTATAAATCATATTTTGATCTACAACATAACAGCATTTGAAATGTATCATCACTGAGTCGATTGCGTCTTGTTGTTAACACTTGAACAGCTTTACTGAATAGCCGCTCTACTGCTGCCGATGATGGAATGGTAGTATTATATTTTAAAAATACTTCTTTAATTACTGGAAAATCATTTAAAATGTCAAGATCTTTTTTTTTCAAATTTAAGAAAGATAATGCTTGCAAATTTGCTAAATTAGAATTTCTTGATTCAGATTCAGATGGGCTGGTAAAAACATTGTCATTGCAAATACTATCGAAAAAATCATCATCACTGTCATCCTTATCAGACTGTGTAATAGTCAAATGTGTTGATTTGGTTTCGGTATTCATTCTTAAGCAACATTCAGTTATAAATAGGTTCTTACATAAATTCATATACCTAAGTGGTACCTACCCAACTTAGCTTGAATTTGGGATGACTTATAGAGGCTATAATAAAGTCTTTACTTTCTGGACGACTTAAATCCAATATATAATTAAAACGAGTTTCAATAGCTTGAATAATAGCAAAGCTTAATGGTTTACAGTATTTCAAATCTGTAAAAGATATTAACAGACGCCTTAGAACTAAAATAGTTGGAGCTACATACCCCAAAAAACTATTGTTTTCACCTTGTAACTTATCTAGTGATATAGCTAATGGTTCCATGACTTGACAATATTCTTCCAAAAAAGTCCATTCGCTTAATTTTAATTTTATTAAATGCAAATCATCAAATGCTTTAGTCAACTGTTGTTTATACTTTAAAACTTTTAAGCTAGAGTCATACAAAGAGTTCCAACGAGTTACTACAGGAATAGGAAATTTACAGCCACACTTTTCTAAAATTTTGTCTGAAGCAACTGTACTTCTACTAATGAGAGTCCAAAAGCTAAACAATTTTTTGAATGTTGATTCAGATATATTAATGAAACTTGCATCTTTAATTTTCTTTATATCAGTTGTTGATATTAAATTTAGTGTGTGCACAACACCTCATATGTGGGGGTAAACAAAATGACTCGTCTATATTTTGATCCTCAGATATGGTAAATATTTGACCAATATCTACCACAGTTATATTTTCAGTTTCCACATCTGAATCCTCAAAGGGTGATCCATCTTCGTTTAAATCACCTACACTTAAAGTAGTTGACTGAGTTGATTTTACACTTGTTGAAAAAGTTCTAAAAGCTTTTGCAAAATTACTTGCATTATCTGTAACCGTATGGCTTATTTTTGAGTAATGAATATTATATTCTTGTGTCATACAAGTCATTGTTTCAGTGATATTCAAGTAAGTATGACTTCCGATTATTCGCTTACAGCCCAAAACAAATGATTTTCTTTCATAAGTTATAGGATCAATTAAATGACAAGTCATTCCTGAAAAATTATACAATATTACTATTTAAATAATATTTCAAACACAAAAATTATTGTTACTAAACTAACTATTTTTAAATTCATAAACTACTTATTTTCAAAATATTTTCTTTGTTTTAACGTGCCAGACTTTTAAATAAAATTCTGGTACATAAATGTGATTATAAATATATATATTATGAATACCTGACATTAAACAATTATAATATGACATAGCTGCAATAACTATGAATTACGAAGTATTACAGATTAAATACTATTGTCATTATATTTGTCATCAACTATTTATAAATAGTTTAATACTTAAATTTAAATTTAAAAAAATGAAGGATACCTAAGTAGGTATTTATAATATTTTAAAAAACAAACAATAATTTAAATCATACCTAGATAACTTTTATTATTTCCACTCCATATGTCTGCTGTTGTACAAATGAATTTTGATTTTTGAATCAAATCTGATAACATAGAAACATATGAGTAGTCTAGGGGTCACTATGGTACATTGCAAAATTCTTTTAATTATTTTGCAAATCGTGAAACGCAATAATTATTAAAATATTTTTCATAGAAATTGAAATGCAAAATTCCTTAGTATAGGGGTCACTATGGTATAATGCAATATTCCTTTAATTATTTTGCAAATCGTGAAACGCAATAATTATTATTAAAATATTTTTCAAAAAATCTGAAATGCAAAAATCCTAAAAATAATTTTCATAGAAATTGAAATGCAAAAAAAAAACTAAAAATATTTTCCTATGGGGGAATTCGGCACACGTGACATTTAAATGCAATAATTACTTAAAATATTTTTTAATTGAATTGTTCTATCAAAAATAAAATCGAAATAGAATATTTAATTGCAAAATGTATTAAAAAGAAATTTAAAAAATTAATTTAAAAATTAAAAATATAATAAATAATAAAAAATAATGGCAAATATAAATTCTATAAGCATATAAGAAAATATGAAAGTCTCTGAGCTTAAGTTAATAGCAAAAGAGGCTAAACTTAAGGGTTATAGTACCCTTAAAAAAAATGATCTTATATCAAGAATTAGGAGAGGTCATACAATTTGCGATTTAACAACTTCTGAGCTTAAGTCAATAGCTCGAAGTTTTGATATAAAACAAATTTACAAACTTAATAAAGAATGTTTAATAAAAAAAATTAAATTAACAAGATAGCAACAACCTTTTCGTAAATTTCAAGAAGATATATTCAAGGATGAAGTTTTTAATAGTTCATTAAACAATAATCCATTTCAGAAGTTAGAAAAAACAATTTTCAATGAAGAAAATTATTTTAATAGTTCATTAGAAAAAACATCAGATGTTTATGATTTGATAGATATAATTCAAATGAATAAACAAATCCAAAAGAAATTTAAAATACATGAAGCTGAATATAAAATTCGGTTTAGAGAAGCTTTAATAAAAGATCTAAAACTATGTAATGCAAAATACAAAATTGATTATGTACATAAAGCTCTAGATTCCATGTTAAAACTTGTCCAAAAAAATTCAAGTTATGAAAAAGGTGATCAAATAAATATTATAGTGATGAATCCAAATTTAAAAAATACTATATCTACTGGTATGAAATCTGATAATTTTGTAACAAACTTAAAATCAATTATTGTTAACATATTAACTTCAGCTGAAACAATTGATATAACAGAAACTACTTTTCAAGTTCAATTAGTGAAAATACCAAGAGGTTCAAGGAGAACTAAAATAATTAATTTATCAGAAAATATAAAAACAAAAAGAAGTATTATTGAGATTAATAACGATGATAATTTATGTTGTCCGAGAGTTATTGTTGTTGCATTATCTACTGAAACAAACAATATTTTAGGTCATGAATTAGATCCCAATAAAATTAAACAATTGCAGATAGGTAGAAAAATTCAAAAAGATTTAGCTTTAGAATTATGTAATATGTTACCAGAATATAACGAAGAAGAATTTACATTGAATGATATTAAGAATGTGGAACTTGCACTAGATATTCAAATAAATGTTATTTGTGCTGAAAATTGAAATACTTTAATTTATAAGGGTGAGGATAAAGAAACTAAAATTTATTTTTATAAAAATGGTAATCATTTTGATGTTATTAAATCAGCTAAAGCTTTCTACGGATCGTGTTATTATTGTAATAAGTGCGATAAACCATATCAAAATAAAGATAAACATATATGTGGTAAAAATAAAATAAAAATATACGTAAATTGTGTACATATTATGGTGAGGGATTTGAACATTCAATTAGTACAAAAAATAAAATATATTGTGAAAAATGTAATAGATATTGTTATAATCAAGAATGTTTAGATAATCACGAATATGTATGTGCCTATGTATATAAATGTATTGATTGTAATAGAATATTGTTTAGAGATAGGGAACATATTGTGGTTATAGTAAATGTAGAAATTGTCTAGAAGAAGTGAAAATAAATGAACATCAATGTTATATGCAACGTAGATTAGCAAAAGGAGGTAAATGCTTAGTAGGATGTACAAAATGTGGAGGTACAAATAAACCATATCAATGTTCTTATACAGAAAAATATTTGTTTTTTGATTATGAATCTCAACAAGAAACAGGAACTCATATCGCAAATAAAATAATTGCTCATGATTTTGAAGGAAATAAAATTATGTTTGATACAAATGAAGAATTTTGTAAACAAGTAATATCTGAGGAATATAGGGGTTATACATTTATAGCACATTATGCAAAAGGATACGATTCACAATTTATATTGAAATACTTGGTTGATAACACTCTGAAACCATTTACAATTTATAATGGTACAAAATTAATGTTATTAGAAATTAAATATTTAAAAATAAGAATAATAGATAGTTCTAATTTTATTCAAGGTCCTCTCAGTAGTTTTCCCAAAACGTTTGGTCTCAAAGAACTGAAAAAAGGTTACTTTCCGCATTTCTTTAATACAGTAGAAAATCAAAATTATATTGGTAAATTACCTGATAAAAAATATTATGGAGTCGAAACAATGAAACCAGAGAATAAACTAGAATTTGAAAAATGGTATAATGAAAAAATTAATGAAAATTATATATTTATTTTTAAAGAAGAATTAGAGGCTTACTGTAATTCAGATGTAGATATTTTACGAAGAGGATGTTTAGAATTAAGAAAACAATTTTTGGATATAGCTAGCATTGATCCTTTTTGCTATACAACTATAGCAGGTGTTTGTATGAGTATTTACAGATCAAAATATTTGTTAGAAGATACTATAGCTGTTTTAGATAAAGAAAAAAATGAAAATTATTCAAAACAATCGATAACGTGGTTACAAAATTTTAATAATAAAAATATCTCACATGCATTAAATGGGAACGAAATAATAATAGCAGGAGCTAAAGTAGATGGATTTGATAATAAATCAAAAACTGTTTTTCAATATCATGGATGTTTTTGGCACGGTTGTACTAAATGTTATAAAGATCGAGAAACTATAAATAATATAAATCATGAAACAATGGATGATTTGTATCAAAAAACAATTGCAAGAAGTACAGCAATAAAAAAAAGCTGGTTATAATCTTGTTGAGCAATGGGAATGTGATTGGATAAATAGCACTACATACAAAAAAATGAAAAAAGCTTATATAGCTGACCCTATTAATCCTAGAGATGCTTTCTTTGGAGGTAGAACAAATGCGACAAAATTAAGGGTAAAAAACACAAAAATGCGTTATATTGATGTATGTAGTTTATATCCAACTGTGAATTATTATGATTATTATCCTGAAGGACATCCCGTAAAAATATTTAATCAAAAAAATATGATAAAAAATGGTTTGGTTTAATTAAATGTAAAATTTTACCTCCAAGAAATCTTTATCATCCTGTACTTCCAGTTAAAATAAAAATGGAAAAAAGTGAAAAGTTATTATTTCCTTTGTGTTATAAATGTGCTGTAGACCAAAATCAAAGATGTGATCATTCTAAAAATGAAAGACAACTTATAGGAACATGGACAACAGATGAAGTTAATAAAGCTTTGGAAAAAGGATATATTATAACAAAAATTTATGAAGTGTGGCATTTTGAAAAGAAATCAACAGATTTATTTAAAGATTATGTAGATAATTTTATAAAAATAAAATTAGAAAGTTCAAAACATAATTATAGCTGTAATGATGAGTATATAAAAACAATTTTCGATAAAATGGGTATTTTATTAGATAAATTAAAATTAGGTGATAATCCAGGTAGGAGAGCTGTAGCAAAGCTGTGTTTAAATAGTTTATGGGGAAAATTTGGACAACGACAAAAAATGAAAAAACTGAGTTTGTTACAGATCCACAACAATTCTATAAAATATTATTAGATGATAGATTAGAAAATATCAATATAAAAATATTAAACGACAATATGATACAAATGTGTTATAATTATAAAGATTATGAAGTTGAGAATTTTCATAATACAAATATATTAATAGCTTTATTTACAACATCTAGTGCAAGATTAATATTTTATGAAATGTTAGATAAATTATGTAGAGCTGTAGCTTATTTTGATACCGATTCTATTTTCTATATAGATAATGGTGTTAATAAAATTAAAACAGGAACAATGTTGGGAGAATGGACTGATGAATTAGGTGAAAATGTATATATTACAGATTGGCCATCTACAGGTCCTAAAAGTTATTATTATAAAACAAACGATAATAAACATCAAACGGTTATAAAGGGATTTACTTTGAATTATCAAAATTTGTTAAAACTTAATGGTGAATCAATGATAAAATTAATTGAACAAAAAAATAAAGATAGTAATATAGAACTAGAATATAATCAAATAACACGTGATACGCTTACTAAAAATATAGTTAATAAGAAAGTTACAAAAAAATTCTCGTTTGGTTATGATAAAAGAATAATATTACCAGATTATGATACAATACCATACGGTTACTAGAATATGATATCCTAATGAGTTGGGAGACACGGTGTCTCCCAACTTTATAGTTTCATAATCATGGGCTTGAAACCGTAAATATTTTATAGTATATTTATAAAATATACTATAATAGATATTCTATTATATATATCACTTCCTTTAACTTAGGTCATATTATTAAAATTTTGTTTTTGTAACTCTTCGTTATAAAAACTCCCTATAATCTCTTCATTGTTTAAATCTATAATTTTATACGTAATAGGATTTGTGTTTGAAATTTCATTAACTATAAATATTTATTTTGTCCAATTATTAATAAATTTATTACCAAATGTTTTTTTAGAAGCTGTTATTCTTACTCTATCACCTACACTAAATTTAATTTTTGGTTTAGGTTTGTTTTTTGTACAAAATAATTTGTGAAAAACAACATCTTCGTTAGATTTATTTACTTCACAAGGTCTCATACCAATAGATCGGTGTATGTCTTTGAAATTATATTCATATATT